CAGTGCGACCACGGAGGGAAGCGGATCCACGTCCTCGGATAGCCCGCGAGAGGGGAAGAATTGCCTGTGGTGGAATCGGGTATTGCCCGAGTTCCAGGTGTCTGAAGGTCGAGGCCTGTAGCCCGTGAAGGCGGCTCTGCCAGTCGCTCGGCCTCTATAGCGACCAGCTCTTCCGGAAAAACGCTGAGTGCGAAATACCTTGCGAATGGAGGATTGTGCCTTTGTCAGCGTAGTAAAAACAGAGACATGCTTACTTAGTTCTTTTATGAACTTGTCTCCGAATAACATGCCTTGAGCCTCTGGACCAAGTTCTTTAGTGCCCAATTCGGCAAGCTTGGCATCGATTTTATAAAGGACGGCCTTCCGCCGTTCAGTTGATATTGCCACATTGGCATTGCCTAAAAGGCATAAGGCCCTTTGAGCCCACTCTCGCACCATATGTGCATCAAATGTGCCACCTGATAGAGCCTTGTCTGCAATAATGAAGATTTGTATGAGCGGGCCCGCCACATCCATCAATTTGTCTTGAGTGGCTTTCAGACCCTGTTCTAGGCCCTTACGGGGGTCTTTCCCTGACTTGGTTAGAAAGGTCACAAGGAAAGGGTCAAATTCGGGTGTATTGGCCACCTTGTCTGGGATAATGGGACGTGGGCATTCTGCCCTTAATTTGTCTCTCACCTCTTTTTCTAAGGAGCCACATTCTACAGTATTTGGCAATGTGGTCCGGGGGCGTCCATTCGGCCGATCTAGGGTGCCTGATGCATCTGGGGTCAAATAAAGGGCGGCCAGAGGTGTCAAATAAGGTATCCTCTTTTAAGTTAGGGTTTTCAGAGGTGAGATCAGACTCCAATTGGAATTCCTCTAGAGGTATAAGGGGTTCATTAGTTGCAGAATCGGAAGGGTAAAGGTCTCGGAATGTCTTATGAGGCGGAGCCTCAGTATCCGAGTGTTCTGCATAGTATTCGTCTAATACTTGGAGATTATAATTAGAGGTTGAACCCTCGAATGCGTCAAAATCATGTTGGGAGGTGGTTTGCTTGGGTTTAGAATAGGGCACTTTAGGATGTTTAGCAGGCGCTTTGCCTTTACCGGCGGTGGTGCTATCGCCCTTCCAAGGGCGTTTGCGAGGGGCTTCCTCATGCTCTGAAGCGTGAGAATCCTCGGAGTCTGAGAGTTGGGTAATGGTCGCCGTAGGGGCTGGGATTGTTTGCTCGCGGAAAGCCGCAAGAGCTTTGGGTATAGATTCAGTAATGGCATTGAATAGCCAAGCCTTAAGTTCGGCAGAAACTGCTGGTTCTGGCACATCCGACATAATGCCAGTAACAGTGGGGTCACCACAAAAGAAATTAATTATTATATTTACAATATATATAAATTTTTTATTTTTTTTTGTGCAGACAAACTAATTACAATGAGGCGGTGGACTTAGACTGCATGTAAAAAAGCAGGAGAGCAATTATCCTGTAACAGATGGGATCTTACAGAATTTATCAGAGAGAGAAAGGACAGTATAGTGTCCAAGATCTAAACAGGTATGTATAGAGGCAGCAAAGGGGGTCACCCTTGAAGGAAGGCTAGAGGGGGTCACCCTCAGAGTAAAGGCTGGAGGGGGTCACCCTCAGAGTAAAGGTTGGAGGGGTTCACCCTCAGAGTTAAGCAAGGATTTGTGTAATAAAGTTGAAATCTGCAAGAAAATATGAAAGTTTTTAATATGGGTATGTGTCTTTAAGTTTTTAAAACTAAAGGGTCTGGGGCTTTAAGAGGTAAAATATGTACTTACCAAAACGGCTGGGTCGCGTCCTGCAGTGAGAGCCGAGGTGCGAGGGAACCGCCGCGCATAAGCTTGCCACCAGATGGCGCTGAGAGGGAAGCCCGGGAAAAATCTAATAGAAATGGCCGCGGCATGAAAAAAGGCGGGAAAAGTCTCTATGGAGATGCCAGGGCAACACACATAGTGTGTGAGGAAAACTGAGCGGCTGAGCGGACCGGCAAGATGCCGGGCGCCCCGGGGAAAGTGGAAATTAAACTGACAGTACCAAAAAACAAAAGTATTGAAGAAAAGTGTTGTAATATGAATTGTTGGGCTGACTGGAGTGTCAGCCCATGAAACCTAAGAAAAATAGAAATAGAGCATTAATAGGAGTATAATTAGAATAGACTCACCTGGGAGGCTAAGCAGCAAAGAAAGAGGAATTGGGAGGAGCCTGATGACAGTTTATACTACTGTGATGCTTACTGATTGGTTAAACTTTTTTTACACTGCTGTTAACTGTTTCTTTGTCTTTGCTGCTGGGAGTTACAGTAAAGAAAGATAAGCAAATATGAAGCATCCTGTCTTGCCATAGACCTCCTGTCCTGCCAGAGACCTCGCCCCTGGCCGGGTAAATGAGCAGAGTAGGCACCTGCAATGTGGGAAGAGCAGATGCCTTCTCCGCTTTAGTAAGCTTGCAGGCCGCAAAAATATTCCTTGTGGGCCGTGAGTTTGACATGCTTGATGTAGACCATCATGCATATTCTGAACTCTCCTCCTTCTAGCACCATATCCTGCAGGGTTTTCATGTTTATTAGGGTTTTTTTTTTTCCTCTCTCCCCTCACTCTGTGATCCTCACACAAGATATTTATGACCCTCTGTGAGAATGGTGTCTATTTTCTATCAGACCTATGCCTTACCTGCATTCATGTCGCTTTAACCCCTGTATCACAACTCAACTTTCAATTCTGTCTTTTTGGGTTTTTTTGCTCAAAAATGCTTTACACTTGAGAAAGGGAGGTTCTCCCGATATATCATTGGACTAATACGACTGCAATCTCGGATATATATTTATAAAATCACGGAGGAAGGCACAGAATGTTTTACTGTGTTATACAATAAAAAGAGTATAATAAATTAACATAAGAGTCAATAAGGGCTGTGTTTACAGGCTAATAGTTAACATATGTGAGACACAAGGTCATTAAAGGAACATCTAGTCCCCTGCATACATGGCAGGAATCCTTCACAAAACTAAAGAAATGGAAAATGCTGATGTGGTCTGTGAAGCCATCCTCTTCATAACAGTTTGTGAAGTCATTTACAGCTGCTCGAACACAGATTCATGCAGCGCACGTTACAGCATGTCCAGCATGCATTATTCTCACTGACACGATGGCAAACAAAAAAAAAATTAAATAAAGTTTGAATATACAAGGCACACTAGGCCTCTATACAAACAGCCCTGACTGAGCTGTTCATTCGTTTTTATAAACTTTTTACCTCTTGTATAAAGCTTACGCTGTCCGTCTAATATATGATAATTTAAAAAAAAAATTTGCTAAATTTAGGCTTTACACAACATAAATGGTAACATACCTAATGTGTGAGCCATTTTGTGTAAAAGTGCTGCAAATTGTAAAATTTTAAGTCACAGGCTAAATCCCACTATCATTTTATACTGTTGGTTACTCTTCATTTGTGGTCGGTGCTAGAAAGCAAACAAGACATTTACCGGGCGCACTTGCTCAAGGGCTTCACCCGATGAGGTGATCAAAAAAATATCTAACCGATTCCGCCAACAACCTCTCCAGCTAATGAAAATCATGGTCAGTGATTCCACATGGGACCTGAGCATGCACAGGCCATGATCAGAACCTGCCAGCAAATTGGTTTGCCATGGTATAATTCTTGTAGGCGGCTATAGTGGCTATGGTACTAGTTGTTCCCTGGTGCCCACCACCATTTTAAGTCATCAAACCATTTTAAAACAGTTTGACATTTTACCTAGGTCTCCAAGGCTGCTCCATGCCTACACTACTGCTGATGGAGAGCTGGAACATCAAAAGCAGCATCTTCTGGTAGCTCTCTTGGGCTAAGCCTTGCAGTTCAACGCTAGTTCATTGGTTGAGAGTGTCAGCGTATCACTCTCAGCCAACAAGCTAAGCCTTGCTCTGCGGCGCTTAGCCCAGGGCTCGACAAATCCCAGGTCGCCATGACAAATTTTTTTCCTGGCGCCGGGGATTTGTCCCCTCTTCCTGTTTCTCTCTCTCTCTGCGCCCAGGGAGGAGAAGGACAAGCTGACAGGGAAACCGGTTGAGATGTCTCTGGTCTATGTTTCTATGGTCGCAGAGCCGACCGCCCACCCATTCCCCTGCGCTGGTTCAATGCCGGGAGGAAGTAGTTAAGTTCCTCTCACTTCCTCCCTGTGCACTGAGATAACAGAGACAGGAGAGGGGGAGTCTGGATCAACGGCAACCCACTCATATCAGCCGCATCCAGCCCCACTGTAACCTGCTCCCAGTGCCACTGGACCCAAGAAAAGCCCCTCCTGCGCCCTCAAGGTAGGTAAGAGGAGGATGGTAATATATGTATTTATCTTTTTTTCGTGTGTGTGTGTGTAAAAAAAATACTTTGAGTCTGTGAGAATGTGTGTGTGTCCATCTGTCAGTGCATGTACATGTTTAGGTCACATGGGAATGGTGTTTTTATTCACCTTTTTTTCCCCAACGACGTGTCCATGTCGCTACGGCTGGCATGCCTCCATAGCGGAGTTAATTTTGATGATCTCAGCCAATCCAATGCTTTTCCATAGGAAAGTATTGGGAAGCTATGGAGCATGTGCTGCAAAATGCTGCACTAATCAACATCTCATAGAGATGCTTTAAATCAATGCATCTCTATGGGGAATGTTCAGCTCCTCCATGCAATGCGTGGAGATACTAAATGAAGATAGGAGATTCTTTAGTGTCTAGATTGCAGGAACTTTAGTTAGGAGTTAGTGGTTTATTTTTTTTAACAACAAATATACAATTCTTAAAGGAACAGGCTATAGCCAGAGCCCTAACATTAAAGGAACACTATAGTCACCTAAATTACTTTAGCTAAATAAAGCAGTTTTAGTGTATAGATCATTCCCCTGCAATTTTACTGCTCAATTCACTGTCATTTAGGAGTTAAATCACTTTGTTTCTATTTATGCAGCCATAGCCACACCTCCCCTGGCTATGAGTGACAGAGCCTACATGAAAAAAAACAAAAAAAAACTGGTTTCACTTTCAAACAGATGTAATTTACCTTAAATAATTGTATCTCAATCTCTAAATTGAACTTTAATCACATACAGGAGGCTCTTGCAGGGTCTAGCAAGCTATTAACATAGCAGGGGATAAGAAAATCTTAATTAAACAGAACTTGCAATAAAGAAAGCCTAAATAGGGCTCTCTTTACAGGAAGTGTTTATGGAAGTGTTTGTGCAAGTCACATGCAGGGAGGTGTGACTAAGGTTCATAAACAAAGGGATTTAGCTACTAAATGGCAGAGGATTGAGCAGTGAGGCTGCAAGGGCATGTTCTACACACCAAAACTGCTTCATTAAGCTAAAGTTGTTCAGGTGACTATAGTGTCCCTTTAAGCTACAGTGGTTCTGGGGACTATAATGTTCCTTTAAGAATTTTCTTTTGTCGTTGGAAAAAAACTGGCCCCTAACTTTAGCTGGCTCCTATACTTAAAGCAAATTTGTCAAGCCCTGGCTTAGCCCATTTGCAGAGAGGTTTTGGTTCTCTTTGAGCTACAGTGGACATTGGTAGCCTTGCCATAGGCGTGCGCATGGGATGTGCCTGGGCACACCCTAATACCCGTGGCACGCCTATGCAGGCACTCAGCGCCCCCTGTTTCACCTCTTGCCCCTGTCATGGGGGGGCAAGAGGTGATGGATCCCCCCTTCTCTGCAGCTCAGCTGCGGCGAGGGAGCTGTCTGCTCTCTGCTCCCTCTCGCCGCGCGCTGATGCCAGGAGCTGGAATATGACGTCATATTCCGGCTCCCAGCTACAGCAGACAGCCCGCGCGGCGAGAGGGAGCAGAGAGCAGACAGCTCCCTCGCCGCGGCTGAGCTGCAGAGAGGCGCCCGCCCCACTGGACCTCAGGGAAAAGTCCACGCCAGCACTCCAGGTAGGAGGCTGGGTGGACATTTTTTTTTTTTTATTAAAATGTAATAATTTGTTCTTGTGTGTGTCTGTGAGTGTATGTACATACATATATACACACACACACATACATACATATATATATATATATATATATATATATATATACACACACACACACACACACACACACACATATATACACGCAGAGCCGCCGCTATCTGAGTGCCGGCTCTGCTCTAAGCCTCCATGGGCCGGCGGGGAGACCAAAGATCTACCTCACCGGCCCACAGCAGCATGGAGGGAGGCAGGAGAGGACCCAGGGAGCTCTAGACAGAAGCTCCACCAGGTTCCTCTCGCGATATCTGAGTGTTGCTGCGGCAACGCTCAGATCTCACGAGAGTTAACTCTAGCCCCGCAGGCTAGAGTTCACTCTCCACTGGACCACTAGGGATGGCACATGGCAGCAAGGATTTACTAATCTGCCAAATCCCTCCAAACATACAACACACACATACAGCTCACACACACACAGTACACTAACCGCACCCTCACAAACACACAGCACCTTTAAAAAAAAAAACACAGCACCCTCACACACAGCACACAAACAGCACCCTCACAAATACACAACACTCACACAAACAGCACCCTCACAGGACAAACACAAACAGCACAGTCACAAACACACACACATACACACACAAACACCCTCACATCACACTAACAGCAGTATATATATATATACACACACACACACACACACACGGCATGCGTTTGTGCTTTAGTGTGCACACCCTAATGCAATAGGCTGCGCACGCCTATGAGCCTTGCCCAGGGGACCCCAGCTAAGACATCAAACAGCACTGTGTTCTTGTATATGTCAGCAATTCGTATGAGTAATGGCAGTATGTGTGCATTGTAAATGTCTGAATCCTCAAGCTAAAATGCCTCAATTTAAGTTTTCCTTTACGGTTTCTAGTGGCAATTTTCTGCGTGAACTTGAATACTACAAGGCACAGAGTCAGGACATCATGCAATGTCTTAATTCTATCCAGCAAAGTCAGACACAAGGAGAGGGGTGCAGCTGCTCACTAGACCAGGGCTTGACACATTTGCTTGGATTCTAGGAGCCAGCTAAAAAAAAAATTGGAGAAAGGTGTTTTTTGTGTTGTGATTTAAACAGTTTCATTTTCAATGACAAATATAGAATTCTTAAAGGGACACTATAGTCACCAGAAGCAATACAGCTTAATGTAGTGATTCTGGTATCTATATCTTATCCTCCTAGTCTTTTCAATGTAAACACTGCCTTTTCAGAGATGAGAGCTCCTATAGTGCCAAATATAAATATTAATTTATAAAAAAAAAGTGGATTATATATATATATTTTTTTAACTCTATACACCAAAACTGCTTCATTAAGCTAAAGTTGTTTTGGTGACTATAGTGTCCCTTTAATGTAGTGGTTTTGGGGTCTATGACCTATCAGTGCAGGCTAAGTACTGCCTTTTCAGAGACAAGGAGGTTTTTCCATTGCTGCCTAGAAAACACCTCTAGTGGCAGTCACTCAAACTGCCACTAGAGGTTCTTCCTAGCCCACTGCTGCAACACTGACTGTTCTCCAAAGATATGTAGATGGACGCAGTGTGGCCTCCTATGGGAAAGCATTGGATAACTTGAGATCATCAAGACTGATGCCGCAGCCACGGAGCCAGCTACAGCCACGGCATGTGAGAATACTTGAGTAAAATTACCTTACCCATGCGATCAAAGGAGGGCCCTGGACCTAATTATTTAAACACTATAGTGTTAGAAATACATATTTCTATTCCTGACACTGTAGTGTTCCTGTAACAGACATATTGTCATCTACTTTTGGTTTATTTGATTATTTTTCTCAATGTTTGAGGACCTTGCATTTGTGCTAACACAAGATTTGTGCAGTTTCCTTATGATGAACAAGTACTTACACGACCCTTTAGCTGAATTGATAGGCCAGTCAACCTAGGATTCTTTATGTTCTGCTGTTTGAGGTTTTAGTATCCACTACTGGGATAGAACATCATTAATAATGCAAATGTATAAATTCTGTATTATCAATGTGTTTGAGGAGGGAGTGGTTTCCAGTTGCTAAAGAGAACCATGTTGTTTCTGTCAAATCACTCACAAAAATGGTTTGACAAAAAAAAAAAAAAAAGGTACAATGGTACCTACATATTTTTTGTACCATAACCATTCACTGAGCTATAGTGGATATGATGCCTATAGTACCCCATGATATGCAAAATAAATAACGGTTCAGGTACTGCAGGATAACAAAAAATAGCTTTATTGGTGCAAAAACAGCAACGTTTCGACCCTACAGGGTCTTTATCAAAAAGATAAGGAGGGTCGAAACTTTGCTGTTTTTGCACCAATAAAGCTGCTATTTTTTGTTATCCCGGGGTGCCCGAACCGTTATTTTGCATATCTTGAAAGGGAGGTCTGGCCAGCCTTGGTTTCAGAGCACCTGGGTTACTTGGTGAGTGTGGTATCCAATACGTCTCTACTACAGAACCCCCATGAACTTTCACTATTTTATTAAATTTTTGCCCACAACCCTATATTTAGACTGATTGCTTGCTTAACAAACCCATCAATCAGGTTACACAACAGAGACGATGCTGCCAAGAGGTGTAACTCAGGGAATTTAAGAAGTCCCTGTAGTTAAACCATTTAAGTAAAAAACAAAGAACTTAATGTGATTTTAAAAATGAAAATATTAACATGATCTAATTTAGACACAGTAGTTATACACCAACACAGAGCCAGTGTGGGTTAAAGGGACTCTACAGGCACCCAAAGGACTTAAAGGGATACTATAGTGCCAGGAATACAATGCTATATTTCTGGCACTATCGCTCCCCCTCCCCAGTAAATAAAGGTTTAAAAACCCTCATTTACTTACCTTATCCCAGCATCGATGACCCTCGGTACTGGGTTGACGTTCCTCCTCCGTCGTCCCACGACAAGAGGGCGCTAATGTGCCCGCATCAGATATCAGACCAGTGGTCCTTTCTGATCCAGGAAGCCCTCTAGTGACTGTCTGGTAGACAGCCACTGGAGGCAGATTTAGTGCTGGGTGCACAAGGGACACTGCACCCAGACTATTTCAATGGGTGCCTATAGTGTCCCTTTACTCTAATTGAAGTGGGCTGAGTGCCAAATCCCTGTTATTTTAACCCCGCAACAGAAAATATTACCATTTTGTAGGCTGCCAGAAAGACAGCTACCAGAGGCGCTTATGCAGCTATAACAGAGTTAAACCTAGTTATAGTTCAAATGACCCAATTGAGAGCAATTAACTATTGCGTTTTGCAGAGTCCAATGGGGAAGCAGAGTGCCTGATATCATCCAGGGAGACTGAGCGCAAGCATGGAGAACAGTGAGCCACAGGATGTAAGGCAAGTAAAACTCACCTTTTAAAGGTATGTTTGTATTGCCAACACTATAGTGTTCCTTTAATAATGTATTTCTCTGTATTGGCAATTTCATACCTGATCCCCCATTTGAAGTTAACTGTAGTTTACAGTATGATGTACAATGAAACATGAAATCTAGAATTTTGTAAGAAAAAGGTCACATTTATCTGAACAGACACCTGATTATTTCAAAACAAAAAAAGTACAGAAATTTAAGATTTAACATAAAACAAGGCAGTCTTTATATGGGAAATATATACACCTTATTTTATTATGTGGGGAACAAGATATTCAACATTGATCAGTGTGAAGTGTATGGCTCACTTAGAACCAATGTATCAAGTATAAAAATAATCAGATTGTCAAAAATTTGAATTACACAGAATGCTAAAACAGGGGTTAGAGAGCATGATACGTTTTTGGTCTGCACATTTTGAGGGAAAAAGAGACAGCATTACAATTGTATATCTGACAAAATGTTAAAAAAGATACAAGATGTGTGTGCAGGCATAAAAGTATATAATATATATTTATATCAAAAGAAAACAAAATCAATGCTTTAAAGTATTACAGAAAGAAAATAAATGTAACAGAATGTATGTACCTAATATACTGGCATGCCTTTAAATCTAAAGTAAACAATTATACTACATATACTCAATTGTGCATTTTCTACAGTAAGACATAAAATATGCAAAGATTTTATTTTGAAAGAAAGCATTTAAAAAAGTGTAGCATGCCTAAATTGTTCTCGATTCATGCCTGCATCATCTAAAACTCAATTCTTTTCGTAAAATCCAATGTGCAAAAGCTGTAGTGTAAAATTTGCATTGCTTACGTTCCAAACACTGATTGGTAT